CCATCCTTGGTCCCAGCTGCTTGGTACTGGCTCTTCCCTTTGCCCTTTCCTTTGCCTTTGCCCTTGGCAAGCGGACAATCATGAGCACGATGATCCGGAGATCCGCACAGCAAAGCTTGGCATCCTTCCCACTGCCCTTTGCAACGCGGATCGAATGCTGTCTTTTTGCTCTCATGCATGGGCAGTGGACCTGCGCTCGCTGAGCTTGACCTCAGGGAAACGACCCGAGAAAATCGTCACGTCAGAGTTCTCGGTTCCTTCACACCAGCAGAGGTTGAAGCACCCTATAGACTATCCTTTTGGTACTCCTGTAGAATCCCATAAGGTCACTTAACCTCTTAAGACTCTGTAGGCAGGCATAAGGCCAGTTTTCCAGGGTTCCAGTTTGCATGCAGGGATCATCCAGGGTTCCAGATTTTCCATTAAACTAGCAGAAGAAGCACGTGGCCTTCCTCAGCCTTTGCTGACCCTCATCAAAAAACTCACCCCTCTTTTCTGTCTTGCAACGTCCAGCCTTCCAGAACTTGCACCCAATCTTGGATGTATCTTTCTTCTCTCTCCCTCTTGACTGCAAACGCCTTTTACACTCTTTTCGCGTTTCTTGGGTACCTCATGCTCATATGGGCAGTTTTCTTTGCTACAGCCCCCTTTGTTCCACTGGACGCAAAACCCCTGGGGTGCACGGCTGCAGGAGCGGATGTCTTGGCACCTCCTACACTAGCGGCAATCCGTCCCCGATTGTCCTCTAGCCTTTCCCTCATGAGATGTCTACGAACAGCGTCGTACAGGAACTGGTAGCAGCGCTTTGAACTTCCCTCTTCGGCCCGGTGATACTCTTCGATGTCATGGGCGATTGCCCTGTGGTTCTTCACTTGCTGGTAGAACAAAGTTTCCAGGACAGTAGCCTCAGGCAAATCAGTAACACCAGCGGTAACGGAATCCCAATTGGACAAAAATGTCTTGAGGTTGTCGCCCGTCATCTTCACACTGAACAAGTCGCTCAAGGAGTACGTGGCGCCATGTTTGATATTTGCGCTGAAATACTCATGCATCATGAGTGGCATCTGTCTCCCACAGACGGGACGATCCTTCGTGGACTCCTTCTCCTTGAAAGCGTCAACCTTGCGCGCAAATTCACCTGTAGCAATCGATGATAAGGCAGCGAGAAGCTTTGCATCGAATCGAGAGTGGTAAAACCCTCAGGACTAGCAAGACCTTCGATGGTTTGCCCCTCAACCCACACTTTGTTAATCCATGAGAATGCCTTGTCGGGCTTGGATGATGCGGCCCTCAGCGCAACCCTTACCCGGATCTTCCAATTGCGGTAACTCTCAGGCTGTGGAAAAGAAGGGATCTTGATATGGTCCGCCTCTTTGGTGGTAGAACTCTTACCTCCCAACACCTGTTTTGAGCTTCTTCATAAGTGTCTTGTCTGTCAGTTCATCATCGTCTTCATCAAAATCATCATCATCATCATCATCATCATCATCGCCTTGATCGTCGTCGTCCCCCGGAGGACCGGGCGGTCCACCCCCCGACTTTGGAATCTTGAGGAGCGGAATTCCCGGGCGACCAGGTTCCTTCGGGTATGTTAACGATGGACCTCCGACAGGGTAACCTCCCCCACCCCCTGGCGGCCCAGCACCATCCCCTGACCCATTACCACCAGGGTTGCCACTGCTTCCATTGATGTTTAATGATCCATACCCGCCGTTCCAAGGGCTGGCGGATTGGAAAACTGGAGCGTTAAGGGAAAATACACTCCTTGGCTGAGACCTTATCGACGGTGAGCCAAACAAGTCAGACTCATCGACTTGACGTCATCGGTGGCAAAAGAGTCTTTGGGATATGCTTCATTGGCCGGAATGAACTCACGAACTTCGGCAGCCCCTTCCGGAACGCCAGGCGTGTTCCCCCTCTGTCCCTTGAATTCTCAAAGTTCCTTCAGGAGTTGCGCCTGAACGCTATCTGTCTCGGCTAAACGCCTTTGCGTTTCAAAGGATGCCTGCTGTTGCTGTGCGAGGTTCATCTCAAGGTAGGAGACCTTCTGTCCCTGCATCATTTCGAGTCCAGCGATTTGCTCACGGTGATTCATTGACATTTCCACGAAATGTGGCTGCGCTTGTTCCTGCATGGTCTTGTATCCGGCCTCTGCTGCACTGCTGCATTGATGAATGCCCTAGCCTGGACTTTCATCTCTTCGTTCTCACAGAAAGCCTCATCAGCTTCATCTCGGAGCCTGCTTGCTGCGAGCATGAGTTCTGCTCGTGGCCCCTCGAGCTGTTGGTTCTGAGACGCTTGTCGCATCATTTCAGCGACCATTGCAGGTGGTGTGTGCACAAAGGAAAAATAGGCCTGATTGAATATCGGCATGGCGTTCCCGCCCGCTCCCCACTCAGTCGTTGACATAGTAGATCCGTTGTCTGGTGTAGACGAGACATTTGGATCCATCAACGGTAGATGGATTGCCGCGGGATTTCCATCCACGCTCTCACGCCCATCCGTAATTCCATACGGTGCTGCCAGCCTCGCGAGGGCATTGGGGTCAAGAGACATGTCCATGGCAGCAAATGACGCGGAGCAATACTACGGGCCCATTATGGCTATAATTACGGCTGATAACCTATGTTTATAGGATAACAGCCAAAACTGCACACCTTTTGTCTTGAGCCAAAGCGGTCGAGGTATGAGGTATGTATACACAAGTGTACAATGCTTACTTAGAAAATACAAGAAATAGTAATACTTAAATGTTGGGTCTATCCTAATACAGTACCTGTAACAGTGGATGATGATGGTTAGTAAAAGCCTTGTTCAAAAATAGTGATTTGCTTGTTTACTGACTGTTACAGGTAAGAACGGACAGAACCAACTTAAATGATCTTAGAATGTGACACCCAAGACCATTGTTTGCAGTAGTATATAAGTAGTCCAAAAGGAACTGGAACCAGTTGAAAGGATGGAGTGCTTGTCCAGCACCTTCCAGCACCTTCCCGGCGGCCCAGTGCAAAAAGCCGAACGGCCGTCCACCACCGGCCGTTGTCAAGGACCCCGGGTGCTCGTGGCGTTCCGCAAAAAGGGGAAAAAAAACATCTGGACCATCCTGGACCCCAAGGATCGCCGAACAAAAATAGACATGTATATGATAGAAACCCATCAGGTGGTTGCTAAGATGTAGCAGGTGTCAGCTTGTTTCAACCAACCCCCATGGATGGCGCTGCGTTCGGTCCATTTTCAGCCAAGCTCGTCTCTGGAAACGACTCGACCGTCCAACTCGTGGGAGGTGGTGAAACCGTCCAACGAGTGAGTCCAAATGGATCCAAATCAACCAATCCTTCCGGTGGCGGTGGATCTTTCCTTTGCTTAAGGACCGAAAGAGGGGGCAAAAGCGGAGAATTGGCACATGCCCGCAGTCGACGTGTCAAAATCGGCATGTCATGAGCGCTGGTTCATACGACGTGCCCGCAGTGGTCCGTTGCATGCCGGAGGCTCGTCGAAGAGGTGTCGTTTGACGGTCATGACTCTCATGAAACAATGTAGACTTTTGATCAATAAGCCCCCCAGACATGGATTGAAAAACCTCTTCATATGGAGGGTGTATGAATCAAGAGTCTACACGATCCTCCCCCAGACAAGCACGGAAGTGGAACCTAGGTAAGACGATGCTGTCCTATACCAAGGCTTGCTGCTCAGCTGAGTATGCTTAGGACAACGCAAATGATGCACAGACGCATCCAAATAGGCAGGGATCCATCTTCAGTAGGCTGTGAATTCCGAATTTCTGCATCCGGCGCCGCGCAGGACACATCCAAGCGTGGCGCCTTGGCGCCTTATCTCGGTCTGCCCATGGACTGGAGGGCGCCAGGAGCAGGTCTGGTCTGTCTTAGAATAGCAGCAGGACTTGTGGAAATCTTCTCCCAAAGCACATTGAAACCGAAATCAGGATTTATGGTGTTCCTGTTCTTGGTGTCTGTGTCCCAAATAGCCGACTGGAGGCATCTAATTCTTGGACACCCTCTGCGAAGGCTTCTACACATCTAGCTCGAAGTGGGCGAAGCACTGAGGCAAATGAACCTAAGGAATGCATACTTCCCTCAGAATGGCTTCCGCTTAAGCAGTCCCGCAGGCCTCTAAGACCAAGCCATCTCATAAAGCACAAAGCCATCGGCTTTCTTGTTAAGTGTCTCGGGCCAGTTTTTGGGCCGTGAGACGCATTCCTTTCTTGGTCTGCCACTGTAGCATGGTTCCTCACATCTGGAGTCAGACATTTTAATATTGCCATTATTAATAGCCCCAGCCCAACATACCAGGGTGCTTCCCTCAGCTTTATCTGCAAGAAATATGAACATTCATCCAAAACCATAATGGAGTGGGCACGGGCGGAGTCTTAATGATTTAAAGATACTTATGACCTGTCACCGGTACCTGCCCAAAGCTCCTAGTGGTGGGTGCCTACAGCGCATCAACATCAACGGAGCATCAATTACTTGGTGTTGGGTGACTCCACTCCTTTGGGAAACAGGAGGCCATCCTTACCTGATCCTGCAAGGCGAAATTCGTGCTCGCTTGATGGTGAGACATCCTTTTAACATTTGGAATTGCTCTGAATAGAAACCGTGAGCCAAGTTGAGCCCAAGTCGGCGAGAGCTTGGCTAAAGTATCTTTGCGCATCCTCGGCCCCATATCCAAAGATATGCACAAAAACACCAGTGCAACCAACCCAGAGTTCTCGAAACTAAATGTGTACCTCTATATTAACCCAAAAGCCACTGATTGTTCAAAGTTCCCTGCAGGGACAGCTTGGTCCAAGTTCAGGTCCCTTTCTAGCGGTGAAACTACTTGTACTTCTACCTTCGTCTTCGTCTACTATTACCATTATCATTAGTACTACTACTACTACTACTACTACTACTACTACTACTACTACTTCCGATACACATGCCTAGCTACAGTGCACCCAGCACAGCCTATGTTGGAGAATCGAGGGGTCACCACTGCCACGGCTATGGTACTGGAAACTCCCAAACTGCAGGGATCCGGTCAACTTCTGTGAGGCATCGACTGGAAGACCTTCGACTTCTGTTCACTTCTGTTCCATCGGCAGATCTTTTTTCGGAGCCCGGCCATGGAGCCAGGCGAAGGACCTGGACAAACAGGTGAGTATCGGTCCATCGTCCAAGAGAAAGCATCGAAACGCAGTCCGCGTCGAGAGTCAGGTGACTATTCCATGGATAGCAAGCTTGAAAGAAATATACATGTTTACAATCAGTCACTTTTCAGTCTATTGAGAGGTCACTTGAAAGAGCAACTCCATCACCTGGAAGTGCGATCGCAAGCATCGCAGCTAATGCTGCATGCTGTTCGCAAAAAAAAGCCAGCTGACCTTCCAGGTGTGATCCTGAAAAATAAATGATCACTGGCGTTTGGTCTTCCGAAGCATGTTCTAACCATCTTGGGATCATCTTTCGGTCCAATCAATCCGATGAATGTTCTAACTTCTAACCCAAAACATTTAATTTATCCTTGGATCATCTTTCAGTTTTGAGGACCTTTCAACCAACATGGAGCACAAAACCCTGCAGTGGCCGTAGGTCTTCGGAAAAGATGTTCAGGTCCAGTTTTCAGGGTAGTTGGAGTGAACAAAAGAAACGTTGCGGAACACTTGTCCTTTACCGGAAAAGCCTCTTCCATAAGCTGAAATTGCATGTCGATGGAAATGGTCGATCCTTTCCTTACTTTCTGGCTTCCTTGCTTTCTTCGATGCCAAAAACCAAAAGGATGCAAAAGGGGTTGCCTGGCCTAGGCGCCTCCTCTGGCTGCCACGGACATCATGCGCATCGGCAACCTGGGGCAAATGGGGCTCTGGACTCCAACCAGGACTCATCTGGAAGCTTCATCAAACAAGATTGATGTGAACAAGCTCAAGAATTTGAGTCGAGAATGTTCACCAAAAGGATATGAGAAGTGATGGATTGAGTGTACAAGCTCAACATCCATGGCCACATACCAAACAAATGGAAGAGGTCATTGCTGCGCGTGTCCTCATGCAACAAACATGGGATTGGATTGATGGCGATTTGGGAAGGAATGCAAACAACGGGTAGTCAACCCATCCTCTAGACTCCACCGACTCGGCCACCATGTCTTGTTACAAAAGGTAGTGGGGAAGTGCGCTTAGATTTCGCTTCCGAATCCTTGTGAAAGAAATGAGCAAGTCCCCGGCTTGTGCGACACACGAATCATCCAAACGATGGTCCCCTCCAAAGCGTCCAGACCAGACCTCCGCAGTGAAACTGCATGTCAAAAGAGGCAAGCCTCGTCGACCATCGCTTATAGCTAGTGACTAGTGTGAGGACTCTTTTCAACCGCCGTGGTCGATAGTTCCTTGGGCCGAGATTAGGACTCTGGAATTCATCCCGAGTACCTATTAATAAACACTCCCCAATTAAAAGGAGAACCGGATTAGTACCCCACAAAGGAAACAGATCCTCAGATCTACTGGAAGCCTGGACTTTTGCCAGTCGGCTTGAGTTCACGATGTTCACGTGATCATTCGGTCCTCTCAGCCAAGTTCGGTCCTCTCACTCGGGTGGAACGGATTTGAACAGACCTCATCCAGTCTGCGCCCCCCCCCACCCACTCGACAGACCCAACAGATCCCCCTCGGATTCCTCGGATTCGTCTTCATGGGCCCCGCCTGTCTGTCACCGCCTGTCTGTGACGGGGGCACGTCGCAGGATCCGCGGCGTCGGCGTATAAACCACCAAAAAGAATAAATAAATCACAAAAGTATAGTGGTTGATTGCGAAATGTGCATGTAACCATCAAATACGATGGTTGATTTCTTGATAGTGCTTGATTACTTCTCTGAACCGGTGTTCCCTTCTTTCGGTGGAAGTTGTAAGGGTGGGGAAAGGTTCCGGATCAATCTGCATCTCTAGAAAGAATCACAGAACCGGGAGTTTGGATGATGAGCGAGCTTCTTCAGGAGGAAGAGAGAACCACTGGTCAAGCATCTCCCCTGGCGCAGCCTGCTTCCACAAGGCCATAAACAGGTGCTTGATGTAAACAAACAGCCAACCAACACCCTCTTCTCCCGCACAAAGAGCAAGCTCTCTGGTCAACGTGTCAATCAAAAGGCATTGTTTCCTGCCGGGCCAATCTCCCTTCATTGCATTTGTCTATAACTATTGGTTTGAGCTGGGGCACCTTTCTTGTTACTTCTTTGCCACCCTAGTCATTTGTATAAAGTATGAAATAGATCCCTACAAAATAACATCAATGGGGAATGGACAGCATGAGCTGTTTCAAAACCCCATGTCCTCCCCAAAGCGGCTGGCCAAAACCGTCGCCACATCGGATGTCTGGATACAATGTCCCCACATCCCAACCACGTCCACGTGCACGAGCGAAGGCCTGCCGGTTTTTGCCATCCACGTGGAAGGCCTGGCACGGAAGCTTCCGGCGCAGAAAAGGGCTCACGCCCGATAGCTCTCGGACCCCTTCGGTGTCCCGGCACGCGCGATGGCGAGATACATCGGAGACGGCCACATCGGTCACGAATGGATGTTTCTAGATGTTTCGATCGAATCTGTACTGAAAGAGACAGCCTCCAGGCTTCCCTCCAAACATCCGTTGGAACCCATCCCTTGGCAGAATCTAAGTCTGCTATCAGTGCTATCACGCGTATGTCTACTGCCTAGGCTGCCTCGGCTTCGGTGTATCTCCCAGCCAACCGCAGGTCCTTTCTCTCCTTCCTTGCCTCGCAGCGCTGCTGGGCCAAGCTGATGTTTTGACCTCATTCAATCAGAGGTGTTTGGAAACGGAACGATGCAAGTTGATTTGGATCATGATTTGCGATGTATTGGAGTCGCCCCCGCCGAGTCTCGCTGAACTGGGAAACTCCCCCAATCTGGCGTTTCGACACCCCAAAGACATCCGAAGGCCGCGTGTTATAGACTCCAGCAATCTCCGAGGGTGATGTGAGGCCCCAAAAGACGAGCCCAAGAGCTTTTCCACCTGGCGGGGGGAGAAGTGGCTTGGCACCAGGATCCCTTGGTGGTCCGTTGTCTGCTACGACCATGTAGCAGACTGGTGCTCCAGGAGGCCATTGCCATGGCCACCGTCATGACCCATGCTCCGCTCTTTCGCGCGCCATGTCACGACCCGAAATCGGATGAGCTCCTCTCGCGCTCTCCTCCCTCCCTCCGCGCGTTTGTGGCGCTTTCCCGGCCGAAGGTGTCGGCGCCGGCGAAGTGGCAATGCACTGGCGAACCGGTGGAGGGCAGCGTGGCACCCGAGCCTGACACCGGTGGCGGTGCGACCGGTCACCACAGGTGTGGTGCCCCTCCAAGCTTTGGAAACGTCTCGGAGCTAAAGCTGGAGGGTGAAGGAAGTTGGTGAGGGTTGCCTTTTCCAGATGGGTGAAGGGAGAATGGAGTTCCTCTTGAACCTCTGGGACGCTCAATCTTGTATGACGGTCATCGATAAAATCATTTTCGAGAGCCGTGTAGCTGCTGCTGGCCGCGTGCAGGACAAGAACAAACAGCAAGTCCATGAGTCCATGAGTATGAGGCTTGAGAACCTGGCGATTCATGTCACGGGTTACCCGTGGAGCACGCTGAATGAGGACCTTGACCCCCAAATGAAGGCAGCATCTGGTAACGTATGTCTCGCAGCTTCGCCCGAAAGCGCCGAGGTCCGCCACTTGGACGAACGGAGTCTCCGACTGAACGGCCTAATGAGTACCGTGGCTACGCGAACTGGACGGGGTAGGATTTGGATCAAGAACCGTGTGGCTTGGCCGCGGAACATGAACAGAACAGGCTACCAGGGCGATCAAGCAAGGTTTTGACACACACACCTCTGACCTTCCAACCAGCCAAAACTTCAACCCCCACCCAGGGCTGGCCTGGAGGGCTTCGGATGAACCTGCCTGGCCATGGTCGCTCTGGTCGCTTTTTTCCTATACTTGTTCCGTCAGAGGTCCGAGGGTGGCTTGGGCGTTCTTTAGAGCCCCCACAGTAAATAATTCCCAGACGCTCCATGGGACTGCCATAGGACTGCCGATCAGGCCAGGGGTGGTGGTTTGGGGGGTCAACTGATCGGCATATATGGTAGTCCCATGGAGTGTATGGGATTTGGCAATGACTCAAAAGCTGACCCTTTTGGCGGAGAAATGCCCACAGCCTTTCATGGTAGGTGGTGTCCAATGGGGTCCATTGTTGGTCCATGGCATGGCTCACAACCACCGCCGTGGAGCATCGAGCGACTCGCGCTGGGCCTTCCATCGTCTCAGGCTCCTCCAAACCCGAAAAAAACACACAAAGGGGGAAGGGTCGCACCCTGGAACCCCGTAGCGAGACCTTCCACCAAGTGCAGCCGTTTCACCAGCCCTGAGTCGCCGCAACCGCACCGCCCACTTGCTCGGGTCCACCGTCGGCCGCCGTCACCGCCCACCGTCACGTCCCCGCGTTCGCACCTGGATGCGCCGGCGGCGTTGACACCAGGTAGGCCTCAGCCAGGGCCCCGCGGACGCCCCGACGCCGAGGGAAGCTCCCCGGTTGGCTCGGTGCAGGTGCCATGTGGGAACGGGTGGAGTGAAGCATGTCAAGGGAAAAAGGTCCGATGGCCCTGCAAAGTCCAGTTCACTCCACCGGTTGCACCGAGCTCCGCGAAGCCATCGCAGGGGATGTCAAGGAGGCGTGGGTCGGGGTTCGCTCTCACCAACGACCGAACAGCGTTCTCTCGCCCCAGACGGGGGTACACCCAATCGAAAAGGTAGCCCTTACGCCACAGGCAAGACAGAACGACTTGTTTATGTTGCACTTCTTCAGCTGTTGGTCTTGCCAGTGGCCTCAAGACAGAACGAAAAAACAGAACACCAAATCTCGGCCAACGAAAAGGTCCACCCTTGATAGCCACGCCCTCCATCTTTTGAATGAGAAAGACAAGCAAGTGACAAGCGTTCGCTTTCCGTGGCAAACCACCTTGAAGGATGCCGCGAGGCACACGAACTTTCCACCTGTTCAATGTTCAGTGAATAAAAAAGTCGGGGTACCCCCAATCCCCCAATCAAAGCTTTTGTAGGTGATCCCCATATGTTCCTGAGTAGGGCATGGATGATTCTTTAATTCCTCCGGATGTCTCTTTGAGTTCTTGGGGGATTCCCGTGGTCTTCGTCGCCTGCCCAGCTCGGAGTGTGACCCTTCCTTTCCCAAGGCCAAGCTCGCTCGCACCTCATCGTCCATCAAGCGAGGAGAGATACCTCCTGAGCGGCCAGACGCGGCAGGGATAGACTCCTTTGATTTGGGTTCCAAGCCATGTTTATAAGTTCATCGTGATTCGGTGCGAGGACTTCTTTTTGTAGGGTTCGCAAAAAGGTTGCAGGGGTCTGCTGAGCAGTGCCGCATTTCCGAATTGACTGACCCACAAGAGGAGTCCACACTCCCTATGGTCCGCATGTTGCAAATAGCTCTGACAATGGAACAACTCCAGAATTTCATGCTATATGAAATCACCACAGTAAGCTTGGACAAATATTGCTGCAAGTCATGCTGCATGCTGAAGCCCCGCCAAACGTCGGCAACCAGGAGATTGTTGCTTCTTTCACATATATTTGTTTGGAGGTGCAGTCGGCATCTGTGAGACGTTCATTCGTCAAACTCATCAGTTGATGGTCATCGGGCCATGTCCTGCTGATGGCTTATGGATGCTTATGGCGTATGGCATAATGGCATAATGGCATTGTACTGAAACCATTATATGCCAAGCTTCCATAAGGAAATACGGGACGGAACATCATTCTCTTGATGGCTTTCCACCTGAGGACAGCCACGATTTCGCTAAAAACCGCTCCTTGATCCTCCATCATCGCGCGGGAGATGGAGTTCTTCCTTGGGCCAAGGGCAGGTTCGCTGTGGAGGTGTCCACACCATGTGCTCAGCATGTTGGTTTCAGGAACAGGGCGGATCTGCAACCGTCCGGACTCGCAGAGCAGAAAACCAACACCTCGTGAGTTGGACACTTCATCTTCCGAGAAGAGAAGACGCTTCAGTGCCTGAATCGGAAGGAGAAGACGTGCCGGACAGAGATCTGAGAATCGCCGTGTTTTTCACGAACACCGCGCCATATGCCGACACGCGTGCAGGGGAATTGGACCAACATGGCACAGAAATGCGGGGGCTTTGGTAGCAACGAAGAACAAGAAGTCTATATATTCTAGATTTGAGAGATCCAAACTCGCTCAAGATCCAAGGGGCGATGAACACAACCGCCAACAAAGGTGGGATGAACTTGCCAATATCTTCAAGGAAAAGTAATTCACTCCCTGAAACAATCATGGAAGTGGAAAAGATGCTTTTCCACGGTTTTTACCAGTTCCTGACTCCAAGTATATCCATCATATACGCTAGGTTCAGAGAGACCATGCCATAACTCCCCAGAGCTTTGCCCCCCTGATCCTCTTTATCCCCTTTATGAAAAGGCAATCCTTACAACCCCCCCTATCTAGAAGTCCAGTTCGACCATCTTTGAGCGCCACCCAAGTCATCGACCAGCCGAAACGGAGGCGACCCACCGCGACGCACGGACACCTCCGGCGTGGACCTCACTGCCGCCCCGCTGCAGGGTGTGCGACCCGGGCATGAGCGCCATCGTCTCGGAACGCTCGAAGAGACGAGAACGCGCGTATCAGCCGTGGCATCGGCGGGGGCCAGCAGAGGAGCGAAAAAGAGGACCAGGGTGCAAGCATTGGAGGGACTGGGAGGGTGGTGGGATGGAAAAGAAAATGGGAGGGCCCCATTGCCCATGTCCCCCCGCTCCGTCCCTTTCGATGGATTCTTTTTGATCACCACTGGAGATTTTTCGGCACATGAGCTGAATCGAAGAACTTCGTCCTCTTGGGACACCAAGCAACCGAAAACCCTGGCAGATCGGACCCGTGAATGCAGGTACCACATGCAGGTAACTCATGAGGGTTGGGCATCCTCTAGGTGAGTCCACCATACTCCACCTCTCAACTGGTGGATGTCTTACTGGTCACAAGAGCTGGTCGACCACCTTCCATCACCGCACTCTGAGGACTCTGGGAGGACCCCGATCTTCTCCCCATCCTATCGCCGAGCCGTCACGTCTTCCGTGCCACGGTCGCCTCAGCCACACGCGTCACCCACGAGGGCATGCGCCCCACGCCAAGCCTGAGACCACGGAAGGAAGCGAGCGACAGCGAAGCGACAGCGAAGCGACCATGGACCGGTCAGCACAACAAAGGCTGAGAAGGGTGGAAAAGAACGTCACCAAATACCCTCGAACGACCATCATCTGTCAGTTCTAGTCAAGAGGGGAGCCTGAATAGCGCAGGAGTCCAAAGTTGAAAAGAGATTTGAATATGTAGGGTTTTCTATATATAAATTATTCTGTGTATTATTGTGCAGTGTGTTTCTCTGCTTGCGAAACAAGAATCACATATCCTGCAGTATGAAGTTCCCCGGAATGTTTGGGTGACAGCGGTTCATTGCGCAGGGATCCGGACGCTTGGCAAAGCTCGTTGCAGAAATGGCCACAGTTTCGATCGAGAAGATCGTACTCCACGCCTGAACCGCTGGCGGCGGCGTACCGCTGGTTGCCAGGGCGTATGGATTCCACTTACCACAGTCGACCACCCGAAAAAGGGAACCAGGAGGCGGTACTTGTACAGGCTTTATCTACCTATTATTTGTTATCACTTGCACTTGCTGACGCGGGCTGCAGCACATCCACAATCCTGGCCAATCCTCAACAGAGTCCGTCAGAAGCATCCCAACAAGGAAAAAATCCCGCGTTTCTTACAAGACTAGGACCAGGAGGGCTGCTGATGTCCATTCTTTCCGCTCGACCAAGGACGAGCCCGCCATCGCGTTGTTGGCGCCTGACCAACGACGCTTCAAGGCTAAAATCGCACCCTCCACCTGTGAGAGGCGGTCGGGTTCGACCTTCCTTGGAATCCAAACAACCAACAAATGGTTGTTCCAATGTGGCAATTGAAATCCTTCATTTAGACATGGCTGTTTGGGGAAACATCCATTTGTGTCTGGTTGTTTGGTTTCCCAGGAAGGTCGAACTTGAATGAAATGAGTCAGAGCTACCCATCTATCCAAGCATCATTGGATTTTTGGGTCTGGTTCACACCTACGTGGATGAGTTCGAGGATTTCTTGGCAGTGGAGCAAACAAAGTCGTGCCACCGTTGAAAAGTGCCACCGTTTTTGGCTCACCCAGGCACAAGTCATGCTTGGAAGCAACTTCAGAGATCATGTATATGGAAAAGGCATGAAAAGACTAAAAACACAGGTTGTACAAGTTTTTACCATTGGCATCTGGGAGATGCTTGTAAGACTCTTATTTTTATTGACCCATAGCCAAACTGGCATTCAATACGGGGCTTGCGATGACCCCGTGTCTCATGGACTCGCGTCGTTCCCCAAACTTCGGGCGTTCGTTGCCAAGGCGTTTCTATGGCCAATCTCAACAGGTGTGTTTCTGTTCCTTCGCCTTTCTCCTGCAGAGTACAGGAAAACAACCCAAGGAAAACGAAGCTGGAATAGAAACAAGCAGTGGTGAGGTGCTTCATGGGACGCCATGTCAATGTATATATCCCAAACAAATCTGAAGCTGCTCTGAATCTTTCAGAATCGTCCATCTCATTCCTCAGACTTCAGAACCTCCAAACAAAAGCTGTCAAGCCATCTTCCTTTTCGAAGGGGCGCCTGGCTGGGTGTGGATCCATCGACAAGTAGCTTCTGCTCCATCAACTCTTTTTGGTGCTGGTCACGGTGGCCCAAGAAAAAAAGGTTCTCCCCTGCAGAGGACCACATGGACCCCCCCGCACCCATTTGGTTGGTATCTTGGAACATGGTCAAAAAGCTTGCGTCACGGGTCTTTCTTCGGTTCCATGTGGTCCAATTGGTGGGGTGGGGGTCCTTTCTCCTGTGGTACCGTGGCAGCTTGCTTCGCCTCTTTCCGCTTCAAGCCGGTGCGGCCCATGGCCACCGTCTGGCGGTAGGTATAGTACCTCAGCCGCAGCCGGGCCCGAAGACTTGGGGGGGTTGACCTGGGAGGACCAATGGAGAAGTCTGTGGTGGGTAGGATATGACCACAGCTCTGGATGAAGGAACTGACTCCCTGCTCCCTCGCACCAGATCGAAAAAGAACGCTTCAGTCGGACCCCGACTTCTTAGGTCTCTGGCTGATTCTGCTTGGGCGTCGTGATGGATACACCCTGGCGGCCGGCACGCGGATCGCGGATCGGTGCGGCCGCGGATGGCAGGTCGCAGCGGAGCACGGCTTCCGTGTGCCCGCTTCGCAGCGGTCGATCCCGAAGCGAAGCGAGTCTGGTTTAGAAACCTCCCGAAAGAAGGAATTGGGCGAGAAAAAACCTGCGGTTCTAGGGATTTCCGATTTTGGACATCAGGCAAATGCTTGCCTTGCTTGAGGCACTAAGGACATTCGGAATATCAGATCATGGAAGCTGAACATGAGGCACGAAGCGGTGCTAAAACCGCTCCTCCGGACACCGAATCGAATCGCTTCCTCCGAAACGCTTCGCCGTCCGGGGTCGTCCGGCGTCCATCGAAACGCGGCCACCTGCATGCCAAAGCTCCACTCGTTGCCCAGGACCTCCGGTCGGGGAGGAGAGCGAAGCCGCGAAGAGAGGCGCCAGAACGTCTGGAGGACCCCAAGTGCAGGTGGACAGGTTTGGTCTGAGGGAAAATGATGAAGACCTTGTGTTCTGTTCTTACAGAACATTGCCGACCGGCAATGATGTGTTTTTCCCCATGGATCCTAGGATGTCTTGACTGCCGACTGCATGAGATTGATCAAGGACGTTTCTCGGGAGTATTTCCCTGGGACAATGAAGCATCCAAGCCATGCAAGAATTGGTCCATGAGCATATGGCTGTCCATGAGCATATGACAACAAGACTATGCCTGCATGCCAATATTGTCTCGGAACAGTCCTTGAAAGTAAGTGATCCGTCTTTATCCGTAGAATGCTTTATTAAATGATCTTATATACATGGTGTTAGTTGTTTTGAACATAAATATGAACATAAATATGGATGCAAAGTACCACCCAAGCCTCCAACCGTCCAACCAAAGCCATCGCCCCTTTAAAGAACCTTGCTCCAACGACTTTCATATGTTGCATGTTGTGTTTCCAGTGGTCCCTCCGACCGAAGGTCTTCCTCCCCAACGACCACCGCTCTGAACCGCGACGTCTTCCGACCTCGACACCCACGTGTAACGCACCGCCGAGGCCCAGCAAGTCGAGGGACACCTCGGTCGAACGTCGCGGACGGCGATGGGCGGTGACGGTGACAGGCCGAAGCAACGAGGAGTGTGACAGGATGCTGACGAGGCCTTGCCGGAAAGTGGATCTGAATCACATGAAAGTGGAAAATACAAAGGAAAGTAGTCTTCCAGGGGAGCACGTTCCACATCCTGGCAAATGTCAGGGTGTACGTGAGTGAGTCAGAGTGTACATGGGCCTGGCAAATGTCTTCTCTGCTTGGTGTGGGGGGAATCGTTGCTGATCTCAAACAGTGGCAACTAGAAAAAGCTGCCTGAGATTGGTTGGTTGGCTTCCTGTTTCTTTCTATGCGCAGATTCGGTGTCATGTAGATGGGCAAAACATCAAATTACCCTAGCAGCGATATGGCTGTGAGTCAAAACCCGGAGCCCTAAACACCCTGGTAGGTGGACCTCCGTCCTCGTCGATTCTTTTCATGTTCCGTGGGAAAAACCAGGGCCCCCCAGTGCCATGGTCCACCAGTCAGCGGTTGGGTGTAGGGGTCAGGTGAAAACCCAGTGGACCTGGAAAAAAAATGACGATGTGCTTGGAAAACTGCATGGAAAGCCCTACTGTGTATTCTGCATACTGAGCACCTGCCGGTGCTCAAGATGCCTCGCCAACTCAGAAAGACATTGAACACCATCCGAAATCAGTGATGTGTTCGTAGGACAAGAAGCTGTTCCATGAAAAAGCCGTCCGGGAGGATTCTTCGTTGGGAGGATTCTTCCGGCAGCTGCTCTGCTCTGCCTCTCTTCACCTGACCCCTGTCCCAATGTCTGTGGGTCCTTCACCATGAAAACAAGGAATCCACACATCCACACTCCCTGGAACTAACATGGAAGTGGATGGCATGGTCCCGTTTAAGGAAGACCATGGACTCCTCCACCGACTCTACAATCAGCTGGGGCAACTCCACTTCCATGTTTCTTTTGGTGAGAGTAAATACCGATTTCCGCTACTCCAAGAGTTGCCTTGGAGTGCCTTTTTCGGACCGGGGAGGGATCTCCGCCACTCCAAGCTGCGGATCGGGCCTTGGGACGGCCAGTGCTGGTCGCGAGAGAAGATCGGCGTTGGAGAAGAAACTGAGCGCCCCAACCGAATTCATGTGTGCGAAGGTGTCGTTGAGGTCATACAGGTGCAAGTAGACCGTCTCTCCATGGCCACCTCTCTCCTTTTCCGATTTCAGTGGCCGGGCCTAGAGTAGAAGAAAGGATGGACGTAGGGGTGGGTGCTTCCTGTTGTGTGCCCCCTATTTTTTAAGTGGGTGCTCCACAGAAACCCACGTGAGGATGGAGCACGCGCTGCCAGAAACAGACCCAAACGTGGCTACCCCACTGGTCGACGCGAGGAGAAAATAGACCAGGTCACCGGTGGTTCTGTTGTTTCTTCCGGAGCTCATTGTCTACTTCCGGATCACTGTACATACTGAGTGACCTCTATTTTGGACATCTTTCTCAGCAAAACGGGGTGTAATGGGCTCTAGGTAGATCATGTAGATCATGGTGAATATCTCCATCTGTGTTCCGTGCCCAATCTCCAGTGACCCATAGCGACCCAGTGCTCCTGGTAGTCCAAGAAGCGCATGTTGGGGCCCTCCTGAGCACCATTGAAAACCATCAAACCAAAAGAAAGCTCCTCGTTCTCCACAATCCCACGAGTCAGACTGCCAAAAGATGGGATGTTCCCAGACACACCAGATCCAAGTCAACTCCAGCCCAGCAATTCCTGATCAGCCTCGCAGAAAAAATCAACTGTTCATGTTCATCACCGCGGGCATTTCCTCTCACAAACTCCTTCCAGGCTGCACCACATCGACGTCGCCGGCCGAAAAAGGCCGGCCAACCTCTTCTTTCGCTCTTCGGGCACTCCTCGTCGGCTTCGGGCATGGCATCATAACTGGACGCTGAGATGGGTGTCACCGGGACATAGCCGTGTAACCTGGCGCGGAAAGGACAGACACTCAAACCGGGTTTCGGTGGGCCAGGGTGGTTGCGAAGTCGGGAGAGGGTGAGAAAGGGGGTGACAACAGCAAGTGAATCGGGGAGTACGAAGCTCGAAGTCAGAGTGTCTTCCAAAGGTATACCAGGACACCCGGACCAGGGGTGTCTATTGATAGCCCCGAAAAGAGGTGATTCGGGGTGTCCATGAATGAACCACCCCGACAGTGGGTCCTAGTAGTGGTCCCCTGGCATAGATAGCAGTTCGTAGATCCCCACGTAGAACATGTCTTGGACACCGTGCCACGGTCATCTATTTGGGGATCACTCTATCAGCGGTTCCTGCTTTCTCCACCCCACCCCAATGGGAACAAGACGTTGGGGAAGCCATGCATTATTGCTAGCCACGCAACAGCTTGAGAGTCGCCTAGAACCCTTCCAAGAGCCTTTTTGTGAAAGATTGTGTCTGCTCACAGATTTTGCGGGAAGAAGAAGTACATCATAGTATATTAAAAAGTAAAAAACAACTATCAAATCTATCAAATAGTATTCTTCCACATCACTCCCACGGCTGCATCACAGGACGGCCACTCTT